ATGAGAGTGGAGTGCGTGTTACAGAGCTTGCCAGGATGTATGGCAAACCCCATTCAACCATCACTTCGATCATGGCGAAAGGAAAGGAAATAAAGTGTACTGTTGTTGCAAAAGGGGTAGATATGCTGACAAAAAGGAGATCACAAATCCTCGAAGAAGTGGAGAGGTTATTGTTGGTGTGGATTACCGAAAAACAGTTAGAAGGAGATAGTGTTACACAGTCGATAATATGTGAAAAGGCAAGGCAGTTGCATGACGATCTCATAAAGAAAATGCCTGCAACAAGTGGTGATGCTTGTGATTTTAAGGCCAGCAAAGGTTGGTTTGAGAGATTTAAGAAGCGTAGTGGCATTCACAGTGTGATAAGGCATGGTGAGGCTGCCAGTTCTGACAAAATTGCAGCTGAGAAGTTTGTACAGGAGTTTAAGGAGTGCATAGACACTGGAGAATTCAAACCCCAACAAGTGTTTAATTGTGACGAAACAGGCCTCTTTTGGAAGAAAATGCCAAAGAGGGCCTACATCACGCAGGAGGAAACGGCACTCCCAGGACACAAGCCTATGAAGGATAGGCTTACTCTCATGTTTTGTAGTAATGCTAGTGGGGATTTTAAAGTGAAGCCTTTACTGGTGTATCACTCTGAAAATCCTAGAGTGTTCAAGAAAAACAGTGTTGCCAAGAGTAATTTGTGTGTGATGTGGAAGGCTAACAGTAAGGCATGGGTCACAAAGGATATTTTCCTAGACTGGTTTAATGAAGTGTTTGACCCCAGTGTGAAGAAATACCTCCTGGAAAATAAACTGTCACTCAAGTGCCTCCTGGTAATGGACAGTGCTCCCGCTCATCCTCCAGACTTGGAAGAGTAAATAGTGGAGGAGTTTAGTTTTATCACGGTGAAGTTCCTGCCCCCTAATACAACGCCTCTCTTCCAGCCCATGGACCAGCAAGTCATTTCAAACTTCAAAAAACTCTACACAAAAGCAGTGTTTCAAAAGTGCCTTGAAGTGACCTCAGACACAGAATTGACCCTAAGAGAGTTCTGGAAAGATCACTTTAATATCCTCCACTGCATAAACCTTATAGGTAAGTCTTGGGAGGGAGTGACTTCCAGGACTTTGAACTCTGCTTGGAGAAAATTGTGGCCAGAATGTGTAGAAGAGAGGGATTTTGAAGGGTTTGGGGCTGACCCTAAGGAACCTATGCCAGTTGTGGAATCTATTGTGGCATTGGGGATGTCCCTGGGGTTGGAGGTGAGTGGTGAGGATGTGGAAGAGTTGGTGGAGGACCACAGGGAAGAGCTAACCACTGAAGAGCTGCAAGAGCTTCATCTGCAACAGCAACAGATCATAGCTCAGGAAACTGCTGCAGAGGAGGAGGAGGAGGAGGAAGAGAGATGGAGGAAGGTGCCTTCTTCAAAGATTAAGGACATTTGTGCAAAGTGGACTGAAGTGCAAACATTTATGGATGAACTTCACCCTAACAAAGCTGTTGCAGGCCGTATTGGCAACATGTACAATGACAGTGTTGTGTCCCACCTCAGACAAATCTTAAAGAAACGCCAGAAACAGAGCTCTCTGGACAGATATTTTGTGCGACAGGGTTCCAGTGACTCTCAAGTTGTTCCCAGTGCCAGTGTCTTTAAAAAACAAAGAAGGGAAGTAACTCCAGATAAGGACTTCATACCTGAAGTCCTAATGGAAGGAGATTCTCCTTCCAAACAATAGTGTACACCTTCTTCCTATCCTCTCCTCCCATCTTCCATCCACCCAGAAGTCTTCAGTAAAGGTAAGTGTAATGTTATTATTATTTTTTTATATGCATGTACAGTGGACCCTCGACCAACGATGGCATCGTGTAATGTTAAATCCGACTAGCGATACATTTTAACGCAAAAATTTTGCCTCGACTAGCGCTAAAAAACTCGACCAACACGATTTGTTAAGTTCGAGATGCATCCACTTGTGGCCAGTGTTTACAAGCCAGCCAGCCACCGCGGTCCCATCCAAACATACAATCGGAACATTTCATATTATCACAGCGTTTTTAGTGATTGCACCTGCAAAGTGAGTCACCATGGGCCCCAAGAAAGCTTCTAGTGCCAACCTTACAGCAAAAAGGGTGAGAATTACTATAGATATGAAGAAAGAGATTATTGCCAAGTATGAAAGTGGAGTGCGTGTCTCCGAGCTGGCCAGGATGTACACAAAACCCCAATCAACCATCGCTACTATTGTGGCCAAGAAAACGGCAATCAAGGAAGCTGTTCTTGCCAGAGGTGCAACTATGTTTTCGAAACTGAGATCGCAAGTGATAGAAGATGTTGAGAGACTGTTATTGGTGTGGATATATGAAAAACAGATAGCAGGGGATAGCATCTCTCAAGCGATCATATGTGAAAAGGCTAGGAAGTTGCATGATGATTTAATTAGAAAAATGCCTGCAACTAGTGGTGATGTGAGTGAATTTAAGGCCAGCAAAGGTTGGTTTGAGAGATTTAATAATCGTAGTGGCATACATAGTGTGATAAGGCATGGTGAGGCTGCCAGTTCAGACCAAAAAGCAGCTGAAAAATATGTGCAGGAATTCAAGGAGTACATAGACAGTGAAGAACTGAAACCTGAACAAGTGTTTAATTGTGACACTGACAATGTTGTGAAACAATTTAGGAATGTCATAAAGGAACGGGAGGTACAGGCCTCTATGGGCAGATATGTTGTGCGACAGAGGTCCAGTGACTCTCAAGCTGGTCCTAGTGGCATTAAAAGAAGAAGGGAAGTAACCCTGGAAAAGGACTTGACACCTCAAGTCCTAATGGAAGGGGATTCCCCTTCTAAACACTAACACCATCCACACACTCCCCTCCTCCCATCCCATCAATCATCACCAGATCTTCAATAAAGGTAAGTGTCATGTAATTGTAGATGTCTTCTTCAGTTTGTGTGTATTAAAATTAATATTTCATGTGGTAAAATTTTTTTTTTCAATACTTTTGGGTGTCTTGCACGGATTAATTTGATTTCCATTATTTCTTATGGGGGAAATTAACTCGACTAACGATAATTTCGCTTAACGATGAGCTCTCAGGAATGGATTAATATTGTTGGTCGAGGGTCCACTGTACTTGGTTTCTTATTGTTTTCAATATGTAAATCTTTATTTACTTTGAAAAAAAATCTTTCTTTCAACACACCGGCCGTATCCCATCAAGGCAGGGTGGCCCAAAAAGAAAAACTAAAGTTTCTCTTTTAAATTTTGTAATTTATATGGGAGAAGGGGTTACTAGCCCCTTGTTCCTGGCATTTTAGTCGCCTCTTACAACACACATGGCTTACGGAGGAAGAATTCTGTTCCACTTCCCCATGGAGATAAGAGGAAATAAACAAGAACAAGAACTAGAAAGAAAATAGAAGAATACCCAGAGGGGTGTGTCTATACTATATGCTTGTACATGTATGTGTAGTGTGAGCTAAGTGCAAGTAGAAGTAGCAAGACATACCTGAAATCTTGCATGTTTATGAGACAGACAAAAGACACCAGCAATCCTACCATCATGTAAAACAATTACAGGTTTTCGTTGTACACTCACTTGGCAGGACGGTAGTACCTCCCTGGGTGGTTGCTGTTTACCAACCTACTAGTATTTTTGGGTGTCCGGAACGGATTAATTTTATTTCCATTATTTCTTGTGGGAAAAATGGTTTCACCATTTGGCAATTTCGACTTTCGGCAGGCTCTCTGGAACGGATTAATCACGAAACTCGGGGTTCCACTGTATTTGTAGACAATAGTCAATGACCAAGGCAGGTGAAAATGTTCACCTGTCAGTGTGACTGTTACTATTTGAGTATTATTTCAGTACATAATATTAGTGTCAGAACAAAGATTGGCTATGAAATCACAAGAACCATTATAAATTGTAATTATCAGAACATAAAAATTATATATATTAAAATAAAAACAAGAAAAAAAGGTAAATCTGTAATACTTCTGCAAGGGGCAGGACTGGATGTTGCCATCAGGTGAGCATCCACAGCCAACTTCATGGTCTTATATCTCGTTGTGTAAGAATGGTATACAATACCGACAAGATGAAATTAAGACACATGTGCAACATCTGGGCATCTTTATTGTAGACGTTTCGCCAACCAGTGGCTTTATCAATACGAATTCCAGGACATAACTTGAAGACAGTAGAACTATGTACAGAAGATGAGGCAATCAGTCCCTCAACCTAGGAGTAGGTGCGAAGAGCATCGTAGTTGTGGAGATTCACGACTACAGCAACTACTACTACAACTAACCCATCTCTTTGGGAAGGACCTACTTCCACTGGGGAATCCCGCCTATCAGTGACAATGCCCTCGTCTGCTACCCATCCCGTTTCCACCTGACGTTACTATATAAGCATCAGGCACCTTGCTTCTGCTTCAGAATCTCCACGACTACGGTGCTCTTCACACCTACTCCAAGGTTGAGGGACTGATTACCTCATCTTCTGTACATAGTTCTACTGTCTTCAAGTTATGTCCTGGAATTTGTATTGATAAAGCCACTGGATGGCAAAACGTCTACAATAAAGATACCCAGATGTTGCACATGTGTCTTAATTTCATCGTCTTATATCTCATTAAGTACTGGTCCTAAAATTTTTTTTTGGTCTTATACCACACCAAAAATTTCCCTCTTTAATTTTAAAACAAAAAGCTATTTTTTTATTTTTCAAAATATTCGGAGTGCCGTGCAGAACGTAAATCTACGTTTGGACAGTTTAAGGGTTAAAGGAGGGGTTTGGAATATTGGCAGATTGGAGGGACATCTAAACTGTCGTATCTGAGTGTCTCTGCAAAGACAGTGATAATGTATGAGTGATGGTGAGTGTTTAATAATGATGAAAGTTTTTTCTTTCTTTTTGGGTCACCCTGCCTTGGTGGGAAATGGCTGATGTGCTGACAAAAAAATACAGAAAGTAAAACATTAAATTGACTCAACAAGTAACTTACCAAAACTTGAAGTCATAGTGCTTATATTTCCTGGCAGAGGAGCTCCCTGCTGGAGACTAGATAATACCATCCACATGGACCGTAACAGCTGACGCCGGGCAACAACACTGTACAGTAATCTGGAATTTCAGGATCACTGAATTTTAATACTGCTCACACCCCAGAGGAGCATAAATGATAACATCTTTTAAATGCTCAACATAATCTAATCAATACTTGATAAAAATAAACATACTGTACTCCTGGACTATTTACCGACTTTTATCCTTTGAGGGTTTCGGCCGTGCTAGTATGGCTTACGACCCAGGGTTTTTGACGTACTAGCATGCCTAAATTCTAGCGCCCTCAAATCTAGTGAAAGCTGGTAGGCATACATATGAAAGAATGGGTCTATGTGGTCAGTGTGCGCAGTATAAAAAAAATCCTGCAGCACACAGTGCATAATGAGAAAAAAAAAAAACTTTGACCGTGTTTTTGGAATAACACAGCGACTTTGCACTGTATTTTCGTATGGTATTTATTGTTGTATTCTAGTTTTCTTGGTCTCATTTTATAGAATGGAAGACATATTACAGAAATTGAGATGATTTTGACTGGTTTTACAATGAAAAGTACCTTGAAATTGAGCTCAAAGTAGCAGAAATGTTCGATTTTTACCAAAGTTCAAAAGTAAACAAATCATGCCAAGCGTCCAATACACGTCAACTGGTGAGTCTAATATTCTTTCACAAGTGCGCTGATATTATTTATACCATTTTTACACTAATGCAGCAGTCTGCATAACAGTAAATCTTCTGTTTTTTGTAAGAATAAAAATTGAAAGTGGAAAGCCAAAGAAATGTAAGAGGGGCCTGGGGATGTAACTAACGAACAGAGGAAATGTTATTTTAGTGCCAGGAATTATCAAATTTATAATTTAGTTCATAATAATGAAAATTGATGGCACAATGATATCTAAAAGTGGTTTTACTATCCAACATTTTAATGTTATTAAAGTGTAGGATAATGTTATTAAGAAATTACCAATAGGAACAAGATTCAAAACATAAAGAATTCTGTCATGTCATTTAAAAAAGCAATTATATAAATAATCTACTGCATTAATTTATCCTTTTGTAGAAACAAGATAATGTGCAGCTGATATTTAAAATATGGATATTTCAAACAAACCATCTTTACAAGAAATCAGAGTGCAACTATTTATTATAATATGATAACTACCTGCACTGATGAAGCTGTAGAGATGGAGCTGTCAGGAGGTGATGAGTGAGACGGGAGAAGTGGAGTAATACTTCGGGGGATACCTGCCGCTCTACCTGACTTAGCAACCATCCTACATGTTCTGTGCTGTTCACCACGGATACACACTCCTCTGCTAGCTAGGAAGAGCAAAATGATGAAATATCCTTTTGTAAAATATAATATTAAGTATAAAGCGAGAAAATTAAATACAATTTGAAGCCCCAAACTCAAAATTCTGAAAGATCATACATAATAGAAAATAAGAAATACGTATACAGTCATCCTCTCACATACTTTCCAAGACCTACCATGGGTACTCGAAACTGTGGATAGTAGCAAATTCACAAGTTGTTTACATACATACCTATGATAAAATTTAATTGATAAACTGTGCACAGTAAGTGGAGAATGAGAACTTTTCACTGACAGGAAGTACATACTTCACAGCTTCTCTTAGGCTTTGAAGAACTGTCAGAATCACTATTTTTGTGCTTTATGTTATTAATAAGCAAAATTAAGTTATTTTCTGGCCACAGTAAACCGCGGGTAACTGAAACCGCAGAAACTGAATCTGCGGATACAGGGCTTCTACTGTAATGCCATTACTTGAAGCAAAACAATAACCAAGTGGGTGATCAGCCAGATTATCTGACCATATAAATACTGTATACAGGACTGTCCCATTTGGATGGCTATTAGGTTCCCGATGCACAATAAACGAAAATTGCCGGCAAGTGGAGAAGAGCATTTTTTCATTATTGAATATTTAAAATGCCTGACAGTGTTTACACAATCATATATTAAATGCTTAATACAGCTGGGCATAAACAGATAAAAATCAAATAAATTCACAGTACACAAAATCTTTCTTTCAGCACACTGGTTGTATCCCACCTAGGCAAGGAAGGCCCAAAAACAGAAGTGTCTCTCTTTAAATTTAGTAATATATATGGAAGGAGTTACTAGCCCCTTGCTCCCAGCATTTTAGTCACCTCTTATGACAGGCAAGATTTAAAGAGGAAGAATTCTCTTCCACTTCCCCATGGAGATAAGAGGAAACAAAAACAAGGATTAATAAGAAAATAGAAGAAAGCTCAGAGGGGTGTGTACAAATGCGCTTGTACATGCATGTGTAGTGTGACCTAAGCAGAAGCATAAGTAGCAACCTTTGATATACCTTTGAAGAGTTTCGAGAGTTTATCTACTCTCTGAGGCCGGCCATGGGCCAGGCTTGTCTGGTGCTTGCCTGGTCAACCAGGCTGTTGCTGCTGGAGGCCCGTGTGCCCCACATATCCATCACAGCCTGGTTGATCTGGCACCTGGTGAAGATACTTGTCCAGTTTCCTCTTGAAGGCTTCTACACTCGTTCCAGCCATGTTTCTGATATCTTCTGGTAAGATGTTGAATAGTCTGGGACCCCAGATGTTGATACAGTGTTCCCTGCTCCTCACTGGGTTTATTTTACACTTCCTCCCATATCTCTCACTCCAGTTTGTTGTTATGGCAGTGAGCAGATTTGGGACCAGGCCCTCAAGTATTTTCAAGGTATATATTATCATGCATCTCTCTCTCCTCTGCACCAATGAATATATGTTCAAGACTTGCAGGTGTTCCCAGTAGTTTAGGTGCTTTACAGGCTCAATGTGAGCCATAAATGATCTCTGTATTTGTTCCAGCTCTGATATTTCTTCTGCTTTGAATGAGGCCATCAGCAATGAGCAATATTCTAAGTGAGGGAACACTAGTGATTTGAAGAAAGTCACCATCGGTATTATTTCCCTTGTTTTGAAAGTTCTCAATACCCACCCTGTCATCTTCTTGGCTGTCGTGATCTTTGTCTTGTTATGGTCTTTAAGCCTTTCAGGGTTGGCAGGCCCTCTCCTAAACTTGTTCTCAGGGTCGGAAATTTTTCGAAAAAAAAAAAAAAACTTATGAAATGATAGAGAATCTTTTCCCAATCATAATGACACCAAGAGTATGAAATTTGATGAAAAACTTATGGAATTATGTTCTCGCAAAGTTAGTGGCCTCGACGATGTTCACACATCGGCGATTTCGCCCACTTTGAGCCCTATTTTTGGCCAATCCCAATGTACCAGTCGACAAAAATCATAACTAATTCGCTAGAACTCCATTTTTTCTATCGAATGAGTACAAGAAAGCATCCATTTACCAATTTCAACTATCCAATAAAGTGGTCCGAAATTGGCAATTTTGCCAATTTCATACAAATTTCCAAAGATGCCAATTTCCAAATAGGACCCAGAATAAACAAGACAGACATTCCTGGCACTAAAATAACATTTCCTCTGTTCATTAATCACGTCCCCAGGCCTCTGTTACATTTCTTTTGCTTTCCACTTTGAATTTTTATTCTCACAAAAAAATAGAAGATTTACTGTTATGCAGACTACTGCATTAGTGTAGAAATGGTGTAGAAATGGTATAAATAATATCAGTGCACTTGTGAAAGAATATTAGACTCACCAGTTGACGTGTATAGGACGCATGGCTTGATTTATTTACTTTCGAACTTTGGCAAAACTGAACATTTCTGCTACTTTGAGCTCAATTTCAAGGTACTTTTCATTGTAAAACCAATCAAAATCATCTCAATTTCCATAATATGTCTTCCATTCTATAAAATGAGACCAGGAAAACTAGAATACAACCATAAATAGATTACGAAAATACACTGCAAAGTCGCTGTTTTAAACAAAAAACACGGTCGGAGTTTTTTTTTTCTCATTTTGTACTGTGTGCTGTAGGATTTTTTTTATACTGTGCACACTGACCACATAGACCCATTCTTTCATATGTAGCCCTACCAGTTTTCTCTCGCTAGATTTGAAGGCGCTAGAATTTATGTGTACTAGCATGGTACCAACCCTGGCGTACGTACTAGTACAGCACCAACCCTGAAAGGGTTAAAAGAAAGGTCCGCTGACAAAATTATGCCCAGCTCTTTTACATGTTCCTTACGTTCTATTTGGTGACCCTCTTGAGTTTTGTACATATAGTGTTCCTTTTAAGTTCTTCATTTTTTCCATACCTAACCAGCTGGAACCATTGAACGTCATGTTGCTCTCCACTGCCCACTGGAAAACCCTGTTTATGTCTTCCTGTACTTTTTCAGTGTCCTCTACCGTGCTGACTTTTATGGTTATTTTAGTGTCATCTGCAAATGATACAAAAGTGTGCCAGGTGTTTTTGTCTATGTCTGCTATGAGGATGAGAAACAGCAGAGGTGCCAGGACAGTGCCCTGGGGCACTGAGCTTTTGACCTTGCTGATGCTGGATCTTGCCCTGTTCACTATTACTTTTTGTGTTCTGTGTGTTAGGAAACTGAAACTCCATCTGCCCACCTTTCCCGTAATGCCCATGGCCTTCATTTTGTGTGCCATCACTTCATGATCACATTTGTCAAAAGCCTTTGCAAAATCTGTGTAAATCGCATCTGCATTTTGGTCATCTTCCAATGCCTCTGTAATTGTCATAATGGTTCAGCAGCTGTGACAGGCATGATCGTCCTGCTCTGAAACCATGCTGGTTCAGGTTATGTTGGTTGTGCTGCTCCATGAAATTTGTAATTTGCTGTCTCATCACTCTTATGAAGATTTTTATGATATGCAACGTTAGGTCTCTAATTTTAGGCAGTGCTCTACTACCTCCCTTATGCAAAGGAGCTATGTCTGCACTCTTTAAGGCCTCCGGTATTTCACTTAGATCTAGGCTCTTTCTCCACAGAAAACTGAGGGCTGGTGCTAGTGGTACTTTGCACTTCTTTATAAACAGAGCATTCCATGAATCTGGTCCAGGTGCTGAGTGAGTGGCATGTTTTCCATTTAGTTGGTCTGCACGGCCTTCTTCTGGAGTGAAAAATATTTCTGCATTTTCTACCTTGCTGTCATTTAGTGGGTTGCTGAATACCGACTCATACTGTTCTTTTAGGATTTCAATCATTTCCTGCTTATCATCAGTATAAGAGTCTCCTCTCAGGAGTGGTCCAATTCTACAGGTACTAGTTCTTAGTTTGGATCTTGCAGAGGAATAGAAATATTTTGGGTTTCTTGCAATATCCTGTATGGCCCTTTGTTCCCTTTGTACTTCTTCTGTCAGGTATGACATCTTAAGTTTTTGCTCTAATTCAGTGATCTCTCGGCTAAGTCTATCTTTCCTCTGTTGTAGCATATATGTGTTTTTAAGCAATTCAGTAACCCGTTTTCTTCTTCTGTACCATCTCCTACGCTCTCTCTCTATATCTGATCTTCTTCTGGGTTTCCTTAATGGTAGGTGTTTCATACATACCTTGTATGCTTCTGTATTCAGCTTCTCTAGGCACTGGTGGGAATTTAGGGTGCTCATGTCTGATTCCCAGGGTATGTCTGACAGCTCTTGGTTTATTTTTTCCCAATCAATTCTATGGTTGTCAAAATTAACTTACTGAACATCCGGTCTCTAACATTAGTGACGCAGTTTCCTAACCCTGAGTTAATACTTGTCTGAACCTCTATAATGTTATGATCAGAGTATATTGTTTTTGTAACTGTTAAGTTTCTGATCAGTTCCTCGTTGTTTGTGAATATCAGATCCAGGGTATTTTCATTTCTAGTGAAATCAATTACCTGCTGGTTTAAAGAGTACTTTTCACAAAGCCTCATTAGTTCCCTGGTATGTGCCTGTTGAGCCAGGGTGCTGCCCGGAGATATTTCTGGTACATAAAACATTACATTGCGCCATCTTCCATTTTACATGAGGGAAATTAACCCTTTACCTGTCCAGACGTAGATCTACATTCTCTCGCCCAGCGCTCCAAATATTTAGAAAAAAAAAAATCTTTTTTTTTTTTAAACCTTTCAGGTTTGGTGCCATACTAGTACGGCTTGCACACCAGGGTTGGTGCCATACTAGTAGGCATAAATTCTAGCGCCTTCAAATCTAGCGAGAGAAAGCTGGTTGGCCTACATATGAAAGAATGGGTCTATGTGGTCAGTGTGCACAGTATAAATAAATCCTGCAGCACACAGTGCATAATGAGAAAAAAAAAACTCCGACTATGTTTCTGGTTTAAAACAGCGACTTTGAAGTGTATACTTTCGTATGCGATTTATGGTTGTATTCTAGTTTTCCTGGTCTC